TATCGTTTTATGTCCCATAGTCCAGTCTAATCTTTGTCTGAAGAGTTGACTTTGGGAATGGTTTTAGTTTTGGGCTAACAGAGAGTCTGGGGGCCTTGTCTTCCAGGGTCCCTCCAGTCTCAATCAAACCATTAAGTCTAGTCTTTTTACTAGAATTTGAGTTCTGCACCCCAAGGTGGGGAAAATTTTGGAGGGTTGAGAATAGGATAGTTTCATTTTAAAGGCACAAAAAAAAAAAAAAAAAAAATGAAAGTGTACCATTTCCCCAGTGTATACACACTGATTATTCCTTGTCAAGCATTTGATATATGGAAGACCAACCACAGTTTTCAGAATATCCACTGAATTTCTTGTTTCTCTTGATTTGTAAACCCATTTACTCATCTGGGAAGGAGCCCTGGTGGCACAAACAATTAAGCACTCGCCTGCTAACCAAAAGGTTGGTGGTTCAGACCCATTCAGTGGCTCCATGGGAGAAAGACCTGGTGAACTGTTTCCATGAAGATTACAGCCCCAATGGGGCTGTTCTACCCTGTCACATGGGGTTGCTATGAGTCAAAATCGACTCAACAGCACCCAACAACAGCAACACTATTCATCTGGGATTTTCAAAAACACATTGTGACATTAGAAACTGAGTACAGAAAACCTAGGCTGGACTTCCTGGCTTGTCCCCATGCTCTTCATAAACGAGCTTTTTTAAGGTCTTTGAATATCTAGACCTGGCTAGAGGGAAGCATGAAGCAAGGGACAAATTAAATCATTTAAGAGGCTTTTATCAAAAAGATAAAGGTCGCCTATTTCCCCATTTATCATCATGAAGATTTCCACAGTTGAGAATTACTTCCTGTTGAGTAAAATAGGAAGATTACAGAAAAGTACTGTCTAATGCCTTGTAATATTTATGGAGCAATCCTGCAAGGCCAGTCCAATTATCCTTATTTTACAAGTTAGGAAACTAAGGTTCAAAGAGGTAAAGATCAGGTGACTAAGAAGTAACAGAACTGAAATTCCAACCCAGGTGCTCCCTATTCTCAAGGAAATTACAGTCTAATAAGGGAGATCAGTGCATAAGAAATTAAAGTATTAGGCAAAATATCAGTGCCATAAAGAGGTACAAAAAGTGCTATCAAGATTCAGAGGAAGGAAAAAACACATCTAGTTGGAAAGCTTGGTAAGAAGAATTTTATTTTATACCCACTCTATGCAGGGTCCTGTGCTAGACATTGGGAATATTAACAATGAATAAGAAACACCCCTGCCATTAAGGAGTTTATAGTCTAGTAGGACACAGAGCAATGTACTTTGCCTGGAATCTGGGAGACTTGGAACAATGTTTTAGAAAGCACCAAATGCTGTCACATAAGTATTTGTGGTCAGTCTGTTCCTTGTTTAGAATCCACTTGCCTCTGGAAACCTAGATCTGAGCCTGGCAGAGAGCCTTGAGACTGTCCTTTTGCTATAAATGATCGCAGCTGGAATTAAGAGAACTTCCTCTGTAGGACTATGCCATTTCATCCTCAGAACTCCTAACATGCTTTCCCAGTTTGGATATTGTCTTGAGAAAGTACTCTAAATACCAAAAGATCTTTAATGAGGTTTTTTTTTTTTTTTTAAATTCAGAGGCAAAGGGTTGAAGAGTGAGTTGATTTAGAATATGGGCTTTGGAGTCAGATGACCTATATTTGAATGCCAGAACCTTCATTGTGTGACCCTGGGAAAGTTATGTTTCTTCATTTATCTCATTTATGAAATGGAGTTAAAGATACCTCATAGAGCTATTGTGAGGGGTAAATGAGATACATCACTGACATATTTAGTATAGTGCCTAGGATACAGCAAACTGTCCAAAAACGGCTACTGTTATTATCTGTTATGATAGTGACAAGACCTGATAGAGCTTCTCCACAAGCAGCACTGTGGGCCTGCTTTGAATAGTCTCTCAGCGAATATGTCTATACACCAAAAACTGTAACTTAGAAACCACTAGGATTAATTTAGATAACTTTAAGTATGCATGAGGACATATACTTCATACCGTGAACAGGATCAGGGAATTACAAAGTCAGATATAACCAAGGTATCGACAGTTGCTGTCAAGCTAATTCCAACTCATAGAGACCCCATGTGTGTCAGAGTACAGCTGTGCTCCATAGGATTTCCAATGACTCATTTATCAGAAGTAGATCTCCAGGCCTTTCTTCCAAGGTGCCTCTGGATGGACTCAAATTGCCAGTCTTTCAGTTACCAGCTGAGTACATTAACCGTTTGCACCACCCAGGGACTATAACCAAGGCACTCCCTATCTATTTCTGGTTTTTCATTCCGTGTTTTAGGGCACTTAAAGTGGATGCCAACACCTGTCTTTCTTTTCTCCCATTCTCCCAGCCTGAATTCTCTGCTTACTTCTTGGCTTCATACTTCTTCAAAGTTCTGTCTCACTGCCATCTTCATGACTGGTGTACCTCTTCCCCTCTTCCCTCCTGTTATTAAAACAGCTCCTGCGAATACAGAGAAGCCTTCTGTGGTTGATAAGAAAAGTGATAGTATCCCTTGACCTGTTCAGTCCCTGTGTCCTCCACAGAAAGGAAAAACTGAAAAGGAGGAAGACACTGGATACAGAAAATAGGAATTATGACACAGAAGGTGAAGGGAATTCCCCAGGATGATAGGGAAAGCAGTCACAGAATGATAGTTGTGTGGACCAGATGAGAAAACAAGTCCAGACAGGAGGAGCTTAAAAGGCTGAGACTTCTTTCAGAAGATGAAATTGATACGATACCTGAACCTTTTTGAGAGATTGAATCAATGGGAAGTACCTTGAAAACTAAGCAAAGAGAAAAAACAAGACATTAACTCCAGAAAAAAACAGTTGTGCAGGAAAGGGAAACTAATTATACTTCACTACATGGCTTAGATTTGAATAGCATTTACATATTCATGATGATATAAAATTTGATATTGATCTAACCAAAATTACGATATAAATACTTTGGAAAGATGGACATATGTATATGACAGGCGCAGGGGAAGGAAAGAAAACTAAATCCTCTTCCATAGTGGAAAGTCGATAGATAATGCTCAAAACTGAAAAATCAAGAAGTAACTATACAAGCATATGATTTAGAAACATGGAAGTAGATACCAAAATACTCAGCCAAAAGAACAGTTGCCTTTGAGGAGGGAGAAATTGGAAGAGGTGAGCAGGGGTTGCCCTTTTTTGGAAATGAATCTGGTAGAACTATTTGGCTCTTTAAACTTTCGGCCAAGTGTAACTTTGATTAAACACAAAACAAAGGAAAGCAAACAAGCAAACCAAAAAAACCACAAATACATAGCTAGAAAAACTAAAAAGAAAGTGAAAGAGCAAGAGCTAGAGAAGAGAAAAACAGGTTAAAATTTTTTACGTGTAGTTCCTGTTTGTATTTTTGAGAAATGTGTTCTATGTTTTTACAAGGAAAAAGTTGGAAGGATATTCGTACCGAAATACTCTTATCTTCGGATTAAGAGTAATTTTTCCCTCCTTTTTTATACTTTCCTGACCTTTTTGCAATGGGGTAATGTAAAAACGGCTTGGAGGCAGTGTATGACCTCCTCTAACCCCACAAGGAGGAAGGAGAACCAAGATCAGCAGCGGAAAGCTGACTCCCATGAGGCAGAGGTCAGACAAGCCCCCTCTCTCCGCCGTCTTTACCAATTCTGACACCAACTGTCCCTCCCACAGCACTCTGTACTGAGTTCAGTAATTCATTGCAATGGTCACACAGAACTCACAGACCATACTCACAATTATGGGGCTTGTTAGGGAAGTAACAGTTAACAGTTCATGCTCAGGAACACTCAGGATACAGTTCTTCCATCAGGACAGCCTCTTCCCCACCTTGCTTGCAGGCACACCTCTCCCTGGCCCTAAGCCCCTCTTAAAAGGCACTCAGCTTTCTCTCTTTGTGGGCTGGGAAGCCCACCACGCTGTCTTCCTGATGCCAGGTCTCTCATGCATGTGTGCTCGCTCTCTCTAAGAAATGCCTCTCTTAAGGCAAAACTGACCAGTCTCCTTGTTAGGCCACAATTACCCTATCACCTGGTACCACCCAATCACCTGAATGGGGGTTACAAGCCATGGCTAGAAAAGCCATACACAAAAGTAATTAATCGCACCACAAGCATTACCTTTATAATCAAACAATAATGCTATTTGATATTACAGAAACAGGAAATAATTAGAAATGAGGGAGGAAAACTGTGTTCAAAGATGTTCATTACAGCATTATTTAGTAACCGTAAAAAGAAACAACCTGTCTAGTAATTAGGAAATGGATAATAAATTATGGTGCATATACCCAGTGAAATATTTTACAGGTGTCATTTTTAAAGAGGCTCTAAAAGAGCTTATACTCATGTCATATGGTTTTCACCTTTAATCATTTGTACCATTGGCTTAGAATGCCCTTTTTCTTCCTTCCCCTTTCTTTTCATTGTCATTTACCTTAACTGTTACATCTTTCAAGAAGCCCCTCTGACAACCCCCACCGTCACCTACCCACCTATACTCTCACTTCCATCCCAACTGTGTGAGCTACCCCTGTTCTTTGTTCTCACAATAATCTGAACGGATACTCTATGTCTGCACCTACCACCTAGTATCATAATTATCTGTTTTTCTCTTTAACTCACTAAACTTCAACCTTCTTGAGAGCTGGGGTGGGGTCTTACTCATTTTATCACTTCAGTACAAAGCATAGGGCATAATATATATTATGTGCTGAATAAATGTTTGCTGGATAAAATAATGAGTAACGTGGAAAATACTTGTGTTACTATGTCAAGTAGATTAGGGAAAGTGATCTACACTTCAGGGTTGTTATGAGGATTAAATGAGAAAATTCGTGTAAAACAGCTAGCATAATGCCTAGCACATAGATGTCCAGTGAATGGTAAGAATAAACTGTTGGTGATCATGCTAATAACAATAATAAGACTACATTTTTTGTTTTCAACAGATAGCCCCAGTACAGGCCTTGGACCTTGTGGATGGATTTTGGTGGCTGTGTCATTCTTATTCACAATTATAACTTTCCCATTATCAATATGGATGTGCATAAAGGTAAAGAATATTTCATTTGCACCTGGAAAGAGGTCAGCTCCTACCTACATAAACCCACTTTGTGCCATGTGCATGAGTGTGTGAGAGAGACCCTACTGGCCTGTAATTCTTTTTCCTTCATCTCTCTTTAGGTAAACTCACTCTATTATTTCATCTATTATAATGGAATCTGAAAAATTCTTTTTAACCATTGTTCAATCAGTCCTTCCCCATTGGGTTAAAATAAGGATTACCATCTAAAATATTCTGGAGTAAGGGATCTCTGTAAGATGGTCTTGTGAGAAAGAGTTCTCCAGAGTCAGAATGTCTAGGTTTGGTTGCTGGCTCCATTGTTTACTGGGTGACCTTCGACATGTTTCCACCCCTGTGGAATGGAAGGAAATAACAGAACCTACTTCATAGGGTTGCTGTGAAGACTTATGAATTAATGTGTCTAAATGTGATTATCACAATGCCTGGCACATAGTAAGTGCCCCACAAATACTGGTTATTTTTTTCTCTAAGGTTCTTAATACTTCAATAAATGACTATCATTTATATATTACTAAAAAGATAAAATATGCTCCAAGCATTTCCAGATAAATTTGTTATTATTATAATTGAAGGAATGAGGAGAAAAGTTATGAGGACTTTAGTGTTTTTTTTTTTTTTTTTTCTGTTTAAGCCATTTCTTAGCTGTGTGGCCATTCCTCAAAGCCACGGTTTCCTCCTCGTAAGATGAGAATAATCAAACCTGTTTCGCAAGCAGGTTATCAGGACTTAGGATGTTAGGATGGAAGTGCACTGCCCGGTGCCTGGCACATGGTGGACAAGCCAATGGCAAGCAGGAAGCTTTTTCAATATTCATAACCCTAGCAGGGGCTCACCTTAGCCAGCAGTTGGCCCTGGTGACACAGTGGCTAAGAACTCAGCTGCTAACCGAAAGATCGGCAGTTCGAATCCACCAGCCGCTTCTTGGAAACCCTATGGGGCAGTTTTACTCTGTCCTGTAGGGTCACTATGAACCAGAATCCACGTGACAGCAACGGATTTGGTTTTTGGTATATAATTAAATAATAATGTTAACAGTGAAGTGAGGTTATGGATTTGTTTTTGTATACTTCTGTATGCTCTCCAAGTTTTATACAGTGAATATCTATTGCATTGATAACCAGTGAAAAAAATTAAAAAACCATAGTAAATAGGTATCATGCTTGTGGAGGTGGTAATTAAACATTGCATATGTTATTTATAGATGTTATATGGATTATACAGAAAAAGCAAGATAGGCATCTTGTTTAAAGCAGAGATACTGTATATTTAACATATTTAGTATATATTTAAGAAGTTATGCATGTAAGTGTTTGTATTCCTCATGTTGAATTATTGTGGGTTTTTTGTTTTTATTTTTAAATTCTAGATCATAAAAGAATATGAAAGAGCCATCATCTTTAGATTGGGTCGCATTTTACAAGGAGGAGCCAAAGGACCTGGTCAGTACTAGGATTCTGGATTGTTTGTCTGGAGACTGACATTTTTCCTTTTTATTGATGTGATTTCCCTGATGGGGGTCTCTTCTCTTTTGTCCTGGAAAAGAGTACGTGTAGCAGAAGTTGTATAACAATAGCAGTGGTGCAAGCCAGGTTTACTTCAGTCATCTTTGCCTTTCCTCTCTTCCCCTCCCCTTCCTGTTTGAGCTGTTAAGATTATCTTAGTCCAGGAATAATTTACGAAATGGAAGGTATAAGGTGGAGGCAGGGCAAAGAAAGAGGACTAAAGTAGCAGTGAGAGTCGCTGCCAAAGAAGGGCTTTCAGTCATTCATTTGACAAGTTTTGATCAAGCTTCTACTGTGTCAGCAGTTCAAACCCACTCAGCAGTGCCATGGAAGGAAAGCCTGGTGATCTGCTTCTATGAAGATGATAGCCAAGAAAACCCTATGGAGCAGTTCTACTCTGTAACACTTAGGGTCACCGTGAGTCGATAGCAACGGTTTTTTTTTTTTTTTTTTAATGTTCTAGTAGAAGAATTCTGGAGACTACTGGGAATGCAAAGGAGACTAAAACAGAGCCCTACCCTCAAGTATTTTACTTTCTAGTAGGGGGACACCACAATCCCATGCAGTAAGTGTTATAATGAAGTAATCACAGAGAGCTGTGGGAATCCAGAGAAGAGTGACTGACCCAAACTAGTAGGATGATACAAGGCTTTTCTGGAGGTGACATTGAGGCATGAAAATGTGTTAGCCAGAGAAGAGGTGTTCCAGCAGAAACAGCAACAAAGCAATGTAGAAGAGAGCATTGCAGGTTCAAGGAACTGCAAGTAGCTCAGTCCACTTAGAGTCCGGGGTGTGAGGAGAGGGGAAGGGCTGAAGAGGTAAAGGTGGGAGGAGCAGACCGTGCAGGACTTTGTACTTTAGGAAAGATTCCTCTGCTTGCAGCTTAGAAAATGGATTGTAGCAGAGAAGCTAGAAGAAATAGAAAGATGGCATAGGAAGAAATTGCCATCTTTGGGAAGAATTATGCGTGGAGAGATATAAGGAAATGAAATCCACAGGCCTTGGTAGGGACAGTAAGATGTGGGAAGTGAACAAGAAGAGTCAAGCATAACATTCCTGGCTTCTGGCTCATAGGGGGCTGTTTACTGAGATGAACTGGAGCCTTTCAGTTGATTAGGTTGGTTCTATTAGAATTGAATGGCGAAGTGAACTGACCAGGTGCCTGTGTCTCTTTATAATCTTCCACGGATCTTTGTTGCAGGTTTGTTTTTTGTTCTGCCGTGCACTGACAGCTTCATCAAAGTGGACATGAGAACTATTTCATTTGACATTCCTCCTCAGGAGGTAAGGCCGTCTTTTGCTGTGAATAACTGAGATAAGGTGTGAAAATGCTTTGCAGCGAGAGGCAGTGTAGTATAGAAGTTAGAGCACAGGCTTGAGAGCCTGACTGCCTTCACCATTTTCTAGCTGTGTGAGCTTGAGCAAGTTCTTAACTTCTCTATGCTTCAGTTTCCTCATCTATAAAATAGAGGTTATAATAATAGGACCTACTTTATGGGGTTATTTTGAGGATTATATGAGAAATTATATGTAGAGTGCTTAGAATAATGCCTGGCAAATAGTAAGTGCTATATAAGTGCTTGTTGCTATTATTATTGTTATTATATGTTAACGTTAGCATCATCATTGTCATCCGGATCATTTTTACTACCACACTGCTTCTCAATAGAAAATCCTACTTGGCACAATATTCCTCCTTCTTAAAGTTCTTGATTTTATTCTAAATAATTGGTTAGAAGAATTAGAAGCTGTTCACTTAGTATTTCAGATAAACCATATACTATTAATGCTTTATATTAGTAATTATTTTGTGATTTTTCAGAGTACTTCATATATATTTTCCTGGCAGTTGAAACTCACAGCAGAACTTCTAGAAAGTATACAGGTGCAGTGGGACAAAGGGGTTCCTCCAGACTACAATGGCAGAGCTGGGACTGAAGTCCAGCTCTTTGGATTCCGGGTCCAGTGTTTATTCCTCAGCTCCATGCTCCATGCGTTCTACATTAGCTCCATTGTGGCCCTTGACGAAGTGACAGCCATCTGGTACCTGTATCTTAGGACACATAATAACCAATGATGAAGTGGGGGACAAAAGAATACTGTCAGTGTTTCCTGGCCAAAGGGCCGGTGCTCAGCAGGGTGGTGGAGCCTGGCCATGTTGTCTTCTCTTGTCACAAAATCCAGAAACCAGCTCAGGAACTACCTGCTGGTACCGATCCAAGTTATTGGTGACATCAGACTTTATAACCCAAACACATCTATTGATGCCAGAAATAATTTTTGTCCACAGCGAAAGAACAAGACGAGAGCATTGCTGTGTTCTCTGCATGTTTTCCCATCTTCCAGAGAAGACTGACTCTCAGAAGGAGCCCCTTTCAGGGCAGCTAGGAACTCTTCTGGCCCTTCCCTCTGTAAACAATGCAGACATCTGGCAGAGTCGCTGTAAGCTTCTGCCTTCCAGCTGAGCTCTCCTGTCCTGCAAGCTGCTAAATGCGAAGTGGTTTGGAACTTGGCAAGCAATCCTTTTTCCAATCGCCTGTGAACTTACTGGGAAGGGAGATAAACACCCTGCCTATGATAAACAGTAGGCAGAGAGGCCATGCTCTAGGGAGCTCTGGCTGTGGCAGAGTCACAGTGGCAAGAATTTGTCTAGGAATGATGCACATTGTCTCATCACATTACGGGAAATGATTAATTTTCACACAAGATGGTAACGTACATTTATTTACAAATTCCCTACTTTCATCCAAGTTAGAAGTATTTTTAGATTACTAAAAAAAGGATTCCTGCTTTGATGCCTGGCATTGCTGATCAGCTGTGTAATAACATTGTTGTGTAAATGGAAACTGCTATTTACACAACAAATAGTTTCTATTCCCTTCCATTTACACAGCTCTTTGCACTTTCAAAAGTCGTTCAAAAACATCTATTTGATCTTTGCAGAAATTTGGTTGAATTGGGCAGTGTTATTAGCCCACCTCACAATGAGGAATCTCTAGGTCAAACAGTTTAAAAGCCTTATAGAAGGAGGTACAGGCAGACCTGGAACTACAATTCAGGTCTCCTGACTCATTCCATTGCTCTTCATCAGTCAATATATCCTAGGACCCCCAAAACAAACAAAAAAAGACCTTATTGCCATCGAGTCAATTCCAACTCATAGCGACCCTATAGGACAGAACAGAACTGCCCATAGGGTTTCCAAGGCTGTAAATCTTCACAGAAGCAGACCGCCACATCTTTCTCCCACGGAGTGGCTGGTAGGTTCGAACCACTGACCTTTCTGTTAGCAGCCGAGCACTTAACCACTGCGCCACTAGGGCTCCTTTCCTAGGACCACATTTCATTTCAATTAATCTCTCATTTATTGACCACCTGCTATGTATCAAGCACTCTGCCAGTGCTAGAGATACAAACACACACACACCATCCCTGCCCCCAAAATCATAGTCTAATAGAGAAGTAGACATAAATAACTAATGTCACTGCAGTGTAAGGTACAGTGGATGTGCAAAGGGAAGAGTACTTAACCTCTGCTGAACATATCAGGGAAGTTTCACAGAGAAAGAGACACTTGAGCTGTGTCGTGAATGATGAGTATGACGGTTCCAGTCAGTTGTTGTGAGGGAGAGAGGAGAGGACATCTAGGCAGGGATACCTGTATTAAGGCTGGGGGCATGGACATGGTGTATGTAGGGGACCTGCATGTGGTCTGATGTGGCCGTGTGTGCATAAGGAAGTGGGGAGAAATGAGGCCAGAGAGATATTATTGTAGGGCCAGGTGCCAAAGGACGGGTATACTATACTAAGGAGGACTTATCCAGAAGGCAGTAGGGAGCCATCGAAGCATTTTAACCAGGGATTACTGAAATTAAGACTGAAGTATTAAAAAATCACTGTGGCATAAGTATAGAGGATGGATTAGAAATAAAGTGAAATGGTTTCTTTTTGTCTTAAATTAGCTTAGTATAGTTAACCAAGTTTATGTTTTACTCAAAGTTAACACCATTATCCAAGATGAAGAAATAATAAAATCCAACTGTTACACAGCACTTCTCATGTACCAGGCACTATTCTATGCACTTAATTAACTCATTAATTCCAGCAACAATCTTGTAAGGTAGATACGGTTATTAATCTCTATTTTATGGAGGAAACTGAGTCCCAGAGAGGTTAAGTAACTTGAATTACCATTTTGCGAGAGCCTCTCATTCAGACAACTTTTAAGTTCAAAACAAAATTATTCCATGTTAAACATTTTTATGTAGCATACTGTAAATATTTTTTTACCTGGCCCTTGCCCTATAAAACCATTTCCCATGCACTTTTTGTTCCAATAATAATGCTGTACTAGACCCTCCCATACCTCTGTGCCTTTTCACATACTATTTTCTCTGCCTAGAATATTCTTCTGCTCCACTTCCCACCCTCAGAAAAGTTTTGTCTCTTTCTTCAAGACTCAATTCAAGTGGCATCTCTGCCACCCACAACTGCCCAACCCCTGTCCTTTAAAGTCTCCCTTGCTTCCTCAAGCTCCTTGAAAGTAAGAGCCAAGTCTTTCCAAACCTAATACCCTGGTACCTAGTACAGTGCCTGCTACAGAGTTGCCCCTTAATTAGTATTTGTTGGTTGCTTAAATGAGTTAATAAATTAATGTATTTTATAAAAATTTTAAAGATGTAATTAGTTTTCTGATATCTTATTAAAGAAAATCAGCTAGTGTTTTAAGACGCTGTATGGAATAACCTTTCTGACAGTTGTGTTAAAGAAATCGCTGGTTGACTGGTGTGAAATTGCTTCCTTCATCCTGTAGATCCTTACCAAGGATTCAGTGACGGTCAGTGTGGATGGTGTGGTCTACTACCGCGTTCAGAATGCAACCTTGGCTGTGGCAAATATCACCAATGCTGACTCAGCAACCCGTCTTTTGGCACAAACTACTCTTAGGAATGTTCTGGGCACCAAGAACCTTTCTCAGATCCTCTCTGACAGAGAAGAAATTGCACACAACATGCAGGTGAGGAGCAGTGTTACACACCAGAAGCTGAAAAACGAGGAGTCAATGGTTGTCTGAGAACCCGTTATTAATTCAAGTTGAGGAATCACTGGCCTTTTTTTCTTCATAGCACGGTTTCCCCAAATTTGATAGAAGGGGACTTTTTCACACTAGCAGCTCATGGAATAATAACACTCAGATACATGCATTGTTTTTTATTCCCTCCAGTGTTATTTTTTTTCCCAGAGTTAGTATGAATCTTTTCTCTAGCCTAATAGTTCAGATGCTGTTCAGCAAGATAGCGCAGGTATTGTTAAAGCTTTATTCCATAGAATTCCCTTGTGACTCTTACTCTTTCCCTTTTTAACTAAGTAACAAATGTTAAACCCAAATTAAACCCAGCTTGTTCAAAAAAGATAAGGTGCTATAAATATGAACACCTCTTATTTATACAGACTTCCTTGTGGATAAAATCTATGATCTTATTTGATACCCACAACAACCTTATGAAATAGATGGTATGGTTTTATTCCTGCCATTCTAATGGGAGGAAGTTGAAGCAGAAGGAAATAATATGGCTCACACAGAGTCATGTTTGCTCAGGGATCAACAAACTGCATCATGGGCCGACCATCTGTTTTTGTAGATAAAGTTTTATTGGAACACAGCCACACACATCTGTTTATGTATTATCCACGGCTGCTTTTAACCTACAATGTCAGAGTTGAATAGTTGTGACAGATACCACAAAGAATTACCATCTTACCCTTTATGAAGAAGTTTGCCAACCCTTGCATTAGCTTATTAGTAACAGAATCAGATCAGCTCTCAAACCCCCCATTCCCCAACCCCTACTTCACCATTTTTCTCCTGTTTTTTCCCCCTGTTGCCATGAAGTTGATTTGGATTCATGGTGACTCTATGTGTGTCAGAGTAGAACTGTGCTCCATAGGGTTTTCAATGACTGATTTTTCAGAAGTAGGTCACCAGGGCTTTCTTCTGAGGAGCCTCTGGGTGGATTCGTCTCCAGCCTTTAGGTTAGAAGCTGAATACATTAACCATTTGCACCACCCAGAGACTCCCCTTCTTCTATAGGATAACTATATAATTCTCCTCCCATGCCTTATCTGCTCCAAATCCCAATGAATACAGCCACTATAGGCATCTGGGCTGGGGCTGAACAATTTTAGCTTACCGTCTCTCTTTCTAACAGTGTACTCTAGATGATGCCACTGATGACTGGGGAATAAAGGTGGAACGTGTGGAAATTAAGGACGTGAAACTCCCTGTGCAGCTCCAGAGAGCTATGGCTGCAGAAGCAGAAGCAGCCCGGGAGGCCCGAGCCAAGGTAATCTTTTTTTTGTTTTAAGCTTGTTTTTCTTATTGCATTTTCTTTTGTAAATACAAGAAATAAGACATGTTTATTGTAAAAAAATTGAAATAATTCTGAAACATTTAGTAAAAGTGAGAGGTGTCTCTTACCACCTCAAATCCTATTTCCCCAGAGACCACCACTCTTAACAATTGTTGGATTATTGTCTTGTTTGTTTTATAAAAGTAGGCTTGTACTATACACATTGTTCTGCACCTTACTTTTTGCACTTAATAATAGTTAATGGCCATATCAGTATATATAGTTACTTCCTTCTTCTATGACTGCATGTTTCATAGTTTATTCCTGCAATTCCTAATTAATGGCAAATTAAAAATTCTGACTTTAGAGTAAGTAGGCAGTCTCATCAATTTGCCACCATTCATTCCTTGCTTGTTTTTGTCTTCTCTTTCATCGTCTTTTTTCCTGTGGTTCTTCTTCCTTCTTACTATTTCCTTTTCCTCTTATTTTCTTTCCTTTTTCCTTTTATCACTTCTCTTTCTTTGAAATCTGCCTTTTATTCTCTTTGTTTTCATCATAATCCCTGCCTATGCCCTAACCCTGCATGGGTGACATAACCTCTATGCTGAGGAAATACTTGTTAACCTAACTTTAAAAAGAGAGTCTATTGAGATGATAACACATAAGGATACAGGGATATCTCACCAAACCCAAGGGCAGGAAGTAGAGTCAGGCCTCACCAGGATTGGAAGCAGGAACTGGGAACCAGAAAACAGTTAAGACTCAATGGAGCTAATTATTCCATTTCCTGGGCCACGTCTCACTATGGATAGCTTTTGGTGGAGAATGTCAGACTCTCAAGTTTACACATCTTCCCAGTTGAACACTAGAGGAGACAGACTGGCCCTAATCCCAAATTCACAGAAGAGACTCACCCCAACAAGGCTAGCATTAATCCAAAAAACACAAAATAATAAATGCTGGAGAGGTTGTGGAGAGACTGGAACACTTACACGCTGTTGGTGGGACTGTAAAATGGTACAACCACTTTGGAAAACTGGCAATATCTACTACAACTGAAGATATATGTACCTTATGAGTCAGCAGCTCCACTTGCCCATCAACGTACGAATGGATAAACAAATTATGGTATATCCATACAATGGAATATTACACAACAATAAAGAACAACAATGAAGCTGTGAAACATCCTATAACCTGGTGGAAGCTGGAACTTATTATGCTAAGTGAATTTAGTCAGTCACAGAAGGACAAATACTGTATAAGACCACTATTATGAGAAGTCAAGAAAAGGTTTAAACACAGAAGAAAACATTCTTTGATGGTTACAGAGGTGGGGAGGGAGGGTGAGGGTTATTCACTAACTAGATAGTAGATAAGAATCATCTTAGGCAAAGGGAAGGACAGCACATACTACAGGGGAAGTCAGCACAACTGGACTAAACCAAAGCTAAGAAGTTTCCTGAATACAATCAAATACTTTGTGGGACAGAGTAGCAGGGGTAGGGTTCTGGGGACTATGCTTTCAGGGGACATCTAGGTCAACTGGCATAACAAAGCTTATTAAGAAAATGTTCTGCATCCTACTTTGGTGAGTGGCATCTGGGGTCTTAAAAGCTTGCAAGCAGCCATCTAAGATACATCAATTGGTCTCAACCACCTGGAGTAAAGGAGAACGGAGAACACCAAAGACGCAAGGAAAGTATTAGCTCAAGAGACAGAAAGGGTCACATAAACCAGAGACTTCATCAGCCTGAGACCAGAAGAACTAGATGGTGCCCAGCTACCACCAATGACCGCCCTGATAGGGAACACAACAGAGAGTCCCTGATGGAGCAGCAGAAAGATGGGGTGCAGAACTCAAATGCTAGTAAGAAGACCAGACTTAATGATCTGACTAAGACTGGAGGTAGCCCGGAAAGCATGGCCCCTGCATTCTCTATCAGCCTAGAACTAAAACAATTTCCGAGGCCAACCCTTCGGACAGGGATTGGACTGGACTGTGGAACATAAAGTGATACTCGTGAAGAGTGTGCCTCTTAGTCAGGTAGATACAAGAGACCAAAGGGGCAACTTCTGTCTGGAGGTGAGATGGGAAGGCAGAGAGGGTTAGGAGCTGGTTGAATAGACATGGGGAATCGGGGGCAGAAAGGAGGAGTGTGCTGTCGCAGAATGGGGTGAACAGTTAGGGTCACATAACAATTTACGTATAAAATTTTGTATGGGAGACTAACTTGAAATGTAAACTTCATTTAACTACAACAATAAGAAAAAAAAAAAAATTCACGGAAGAGAGATACTCTTTGGTCCAGCTTTGGTCAAAGGGCCAAGTCAGATATTGATAAGATCTCAAGCCCCATGCCTGTGAATGGAGTGGAGGAAGAGGGATAGTTTTCATAGGAGGGGTTGCTGTACAGGAGCAAACCAATTTCTTGTTTTTGTTGTTGTTATTAGAAAAAAATAGTAGGTGGTGCTAATTGACTCTTCTATTCCACACTTCTATTAGGATGCCCTTTAAGCCACAGATTGGTCACTGTAATTTATTAGCCAGCACCAGATAGAGTATTAGCTTATTTATTTGCACAGTGCCTCCAGAATTTTCTATTAACAATAATTTTCAGGCTTTCCTAATGTGGTAATTGATGTTTGTGATGATGGACCAGTGATATTGCAGAATCTTCATGTGCCTTTGAGAGAAACCATCACATTTAGAAGATTAAATTATATTTATGATAATGTTCTTAAATATGCCCTACTATAATCTAATTATTTTAAAAATTAGAGATTGCTTTTACCTAAAATATATAAGTAACCAAAAACTCCATTTCCAAACCATATTGAATAATAGAATTTACCATACATAGACTACGTCGAATATCAGAGCCAGAAGGGTCCTTAGAGATTATCTCCTTAAGGTGGAAAATACCTCGCCCAGATGTTGCCACTCTGCCCTCCTATACCCATGCCAGTAATTAACCACATCACTGTTTTCCACTAAGCTTAGACTTGGCCTCAGAACCCTTCTACAACACTCCTGTTAACAACCATTGATTGCTTGGAGCTGGCCCTCAAAAGGAAACTTGTTTGCTATCCTGCTATTCAGATGAAAAATTGAAGCCCAGAAAAATTAAGGGATTTCCTCAAGGTTACAGAGTCAATTAGTGGCAATGGAAATTAGAACTCCCCTCTGCTCCACATTGTCTTCTCTGAGACTTCCCAGGATGAGCTGAGCCTCTTCCACGAGCATTCTTGCCAGTTTGGAAAGAAGGTTCCTATCTTCCCTTGCTGACAATAAGAAATGATAAAGGAAGCCTGTTGGAATTCTGAATTACTGTCCTCCCTCGTGGATGAGGCTCTAGGGCTAGTCCGGAAACAGTCTTATTGACTAGGGCAGTGGCTGTCTGTCTTTAAGGTGAAGGTTAACACTTGGAACCACAGTGAGCCTAGGCCTTGTATAAAATACAGTAATCCTGCAACAACCATAAGGCTTATATTCAAGTTTTCATAAAAATAGGGGTCATAGTTTCTTCAACAAATAAATTACAATGGAAGAGAGAGTGAATGAGTCTATAGATTAAGAGACTTCAGAGAAAAACTCAAGTTCACTAGCCATCAGGGAAAAGCAAATTTAGATCACAGGCAGATGCCACACTAGACACCCACCAGAATGTCAGGCATACCTACATACATAAATAATAAATATATTTATAAAAACAAACAAACAGTAAATAACTAATTGTGGGTGACAGAGGAACTAGAACTCATACTCTGCTGGTGGGAGTATAAATTGGTACAACCACTTTGGAAAACTGGCAATATCTACTACAACTGAAGATATATGTACCTTATGAGTCAGCAGCTCCACTCCTAAGAATGTATCTAACAGAAATGCACTCATATGTTTATCAAAAGGCATGTGCTAGAATATTCCTGGCAGCCCTTTATAATTGCCCCAGATTGGAAACTACTCAAATGTCCATCACTAGTTGAATGGATAAAGTGTGGTTTATTCCCATACAAATAATATACAGCAAAGAGAATGAACAGTCTGCATATAAATGCTCACAAACATAATGTTGATTGAAAGAAGCCAGTCACAAAAGAGGACAGATACTCCTAAGAATTTTTATACAGCATGCTAGCTGAACCTCCTTTTAAAGTTTTTTAGACCAGCCCTTAATGGCTTGAAATGCAAGGTCTTTTGCGCTTGCATTCTCCCTTATTTCCTTTTCATAACTCTCATAAAAATGCCTGGCACAGGATCATATTTCTAGACCTAGTCTTCCATTAATTGAGCAGGCATAGTGCAAAAATGCAAAAGATCACCTTTCTCCACCCTTCCCTCTGACCAGCCCATATCGTCTGCAGAAGGAGAGAAGCTGATGTGAGTATAATCTCACATACATGAAAATACCTGATTAAAAAGGAAGGTCTGTAAATATAAGCAGTTTGATTGACATAGGATTACAGCATATTTAGCAAAAGCCCCATATGCCCACAAGTAGATTGCTTTGCTCTCTAAGATCCTATCAACAGGGTATACTTGGCCTATATTTAGACAAAGCCAGTTTTCACATCTTTGGCAGCTTGCTCAGAGCAGCTTTTCTGTTAACAAAATGGGTGCCCAGCTGATGGATCTTGCTTCCCAGTCAAGAGATTGCGTATTGATTAGTAGGGGGAGATGAGATATCTTTGCGGTTGGTCCATGTCCAGATAAAAAAGTGGACATCTGAGATGATATGGAGAAAAATCAGAGCCTGTTTTTGTCATGGCAGGTTTGTTTATGCCTGCTCTACAGTGCTTACCTGGGAGTACAGTTACATGGTTGTCACTGAACATATCTGGCACTTTCCGCTTCTCAGCCCTAGGTAGTACCTAATGGTTTGCCTTGGTCAATTAAGGTGTTTATCCTCTAAACTGGGTTCTTTCTCTCAGTGATTGCCATATCCTGTAACCCTTATCTCAGTTAATGGCACTACCCATGTGATCTAAACCTAGAAACCTGGGGCTCAGCCTCTATTCCCCTCTGCTCCACATACCCAGTCAGTCTCCAAATTCTGTTGAGTCTTCCTCCTGAAGAGCTACCAAATCCATTTCCTCCTCCATCCCTACTACCAGTGAATCTCACCAACCTCTCTGAAGCAGTTCCACTAGCTGCTCTCAATCTCTTATCTTCAAATCTGTCCTCAGACTTCCATCAGAAGGTTTTCTAAAACTAGATCTGATGCAGTTATTTATCTACTTAAAAATCATTCAGTGGCTTCCATTGCCTATAGAAGGAAGACCAAATGCCCTGGCCTTCCTAGCCCTTTGGACCCTGGCCCCTGTTCGTCCTCTACTTTTCCCCTCTTCCTCCCACAGTACTGAGCCACTTATACAGTTTTCTAGAATACACCAGTTTTTTTATACTCAAATTGTTTTTTATGTGTTCTACCTGAAGTATTTTTCATCATCTACATCCAAATAGGAAACCTTTCATCCTTTAATATAACCACTTCACCTCACCCTCTGCAAAAATTACTTTCCTCTCTGTGCCAGCACTCGGACTGGTAGATATATCTGTTAATCATATTTATCACACTGGAAGAAAATTATTTGTTTCTATGTCTGTCTTCTCTACTTGATCAGGAGCTCCTTTAGGGTAGGGATTCCACTCATTATTATCCCTATCTCTTACACAAGACTTAACACCTAGAAGGTCTGCAAAGTTTGCTGTATAAGTGAATGAAATTCCATTGGTCATAAGACCATTGCTTCCAACTCTGATATTTACAGGAGTATTATGAACTGTTAATACTGAACCGTTAATGTTTTGAGATCCATTAAGGACAACCTGGTGAAACTGTACTTTTAATCTTGATGGTATCTTTACACCTTTTCTTCTCCTAGGTTTATTAATTAAAAGTAACTGTCTCAATTTAACTTCTGAACTTTGTTCGTCTTTTATTATGGTGAAAATATGCATGCCAAAACACCTTCTGATTCTTTTATGCATTAAATTGGCTTCAAAAATCAGGTCTTAACTTGTCATTCACCATTCCTGTATAATAGCCTCCATTTATAAATTCAATATTTACTATACCTCAGTCTTCCTCACAGTGGTCCTATAAGCAGTTGTCTCATTTAAAGTATGAGAAACTGAGGCTCAGAGATGTTAAATAAGCTGTTTGGGAACATTCAGCTAGTAAGTGTTAGATTTGGGGTTTGAGCTTAATTAAGATCTTGTAATTCCAAAGCCCCTCCTCTCTCTACCACTCCAGTGATCTTCAAAATTTTTTTGCCTGTGTAAGCTCTAAAAGAATTTAGAAAAATTATATATTCCCTCACACATTGTAAGTTAACATTTAAAATTTTTCATCATGAGTTTGTGTACTTGCAAAGTGTATAATTCCTGGTATGTTGGAAATATTGACATTTTAAAATAAATATTAACAATTCTTTTGAATGTATCCAGTGAAATCTGAATAACAATGATTTAATCATCCATTAAAAAATATATGAATGAGATCTTTTTCAACAGTCAGAAATTTTATCTAATCTATTTTGTTATGAATTACTTTATTACCCTACTGCAACACATTTAGTTGAAGAGTTTAAATTAGTTCTTTAAATTTCCTATGACTGCAAACAGGAACCCTGGTTGTGCAATGGTTAAGCGTTTGGCTACTAACTGAAAGGTCAGTGGTTCAAACCCACCAGCTGCTCCACGGAAGAAAGAATGTGGCAGTCTGCCTCCGTAAAGATTGGCCTTGGAAACCCTATAGGGCAGTACTACTCTGTCCTGTAGGGTTGCTATGAGTCGGAATCAACTCGATGGCAATGGGTTTGGTTTGTTTGCTTTTTTATTTTTATTTTTTTTACAAACAGGATCTAAATATTTCAGAATTTCTTCTAAATAAGAAATAAAATTTTACTAAAAATGCTTCTGTTAATGAGATGAGTGAGGAATTAATTCATGTATTTGTGGATGGCTATTATTTATTGCTAGAATGAGACAGGATTCAACATCCAATTCTATTGCTATTTTTCATTTTTATAGATAAATCAGTAGATGGAAATGGAAGTTTTTATTAAAGTAATATCATGCAATTCTTAACACTGAATTTATGTGTGAAAAAATCATACAGTGATCTTTCATTAACAAATATTTTTAAAGATCTATCAGCTTTCAGTTCATAAGGTCCTCTTTCCTTTCTTTGTCTTCCCTCTGCCCATAGAAATCAAAGAATTGGAAATCTACCCTGACTTCCCAAAGGATTTGTCATTAGAGCCATTCACTGTCTCAGCACCCATTATGAATTGTCCCTTTGTTGGTATCCTGGCAAGTGGGAGAAGGGCCATAGTAAAAGAGGATGTCTGGACTTCAGGCACATACTCAGTCAGGCAAATCAGATTTAGGAAAAAGAACAGAAGGAAACTGAGTACCACCTGAGGTATACATACCCCAGTTTGAAGACTGCTGCTAATGACAAATCCTTTGGTAAGTCAGGTGGATTTCCTACACCATGCTGCTTTCTCCAGTTTTACTTCTGTCTTCCACTGTTCCATAGGTCATTGCTGCTGAGGGAGAAATGAATGCATCCAGAGCTCTGAAAGAAGCCTCTATGGTCATCACTGAATCTCCTGCAGCTCTCCAGCTCCGGTACCTTCAGACACTGACCACAATTGCTGCTGAGAAAAACTCAACGATTGTCTTCCCTCTGCCTATAGATATGTTGCAAGGCATCGTAGGGGCAAAACACTGAGCCACACAGGCCAAGGCAGAGATGAGTCTCCCCTGCAAAGGATGAAGTAGGGTACCAAATTAGCCTTTAACCCATAAGGAGAGAGTAGGGCAGGGAAATTTGAATTTTCTCCCTCTCTTTCCTTTTCCATATATTGAGTTTGGTGTTCTTAGAATGTATAATCATAAAAACAGATGAAAGAATTTTTAGCTTGTAAATACTGAGAGAGAGAGAGATTGGTGAATTAGACATCTCTTGCTCTTCAAAATATGTAAAAGTTCTTATTTTTAGATCATTATGTGGTAGGTTAAATCCCTCTTCTTTTGGCTTCCATTGAGTCATTCTTCACCCTGTGTCAGCAGCCAGGCCAAAGGCAAGAACAGAGGCTTTAAGCACCACCTGACACTCCTAGCTGGATAGATGCTCTGCAGAAAGCTATCGCCTTATGCTGCAACCTGCTTCTCCGGGCCGTATGTGCCTTACTTCCAGGGAACCTTAATTGAAGGAAATGTCCTCAGTGTCTGTTTTCTTTTTGAACCCAAACCATGTTTCAAAATAATCCCCACCTGAGAGTAGGCATTTTCTTGCCTGGACCTGTCAGCATTAGAGGAAATGGTCAAGACTTACAAAAACATTACCCTAACCCTTCAAAGACCTTCAAGCCTACTATTACAGAGTTCCTTTTTAAAATAATGTATGTATCTTTTTTTTTTTTTAAACTTTTTTGAGCCTCCTTTTTGAGTAAATGATTCCTCTGTGGTCTGCCTTTCAAACCAGCTAAATTCTTGTCCCAAAGTGCTTGTTTCTCACTTTTGCCTATTTTCGTATATCAGGTTTTAAACAGTTTTGATTTTTTAAATAAAATTTTCTCAAATTTCTATAAACAGTTGTTTGTATACCCATTTGAATAGCTCAAGAACTAACATACTTTTAAATATCTTCAAAAAACCATTATATTTTACTGTCTGCATGCTATTAACTATTGTACATTGAGAAATATGTTGGTTACCAACTCATTCATTAAGTAATATAAGGAATTCACAATATATTGAGCACATGGTGTCTAATTAGCTTGAATAGATGCTGTCAAACTTAGGATATCTATATAGATTCATAGATTTTTTTTTTTTTTTTAAATCCCAATCTGCAGGTAAAGATAGAAAAAGATAGTAAGTCATTTTCTCTCATGTATGTTGATGCTGAAAGAGGAAGAAGTGGTCAGCTTCTCTGGATTGCCATTTCTTAGTCTGTAGTATTAGGAAGCACCTTCCATGTCACAAATGCCTGTAATTTGAGCAACCTGGCATTCTTCCTGTTGGTCCAGAAAGCTGGCTGGTGGTGACAGTTGTAATACTTCCTCTTTGAGGCTCTGCATTTACCTAGAGAAGTCTAAGAATAGTGGCTTCCTTACCTAGAGCCACCTTCCCCATCTATCCTTAGCTAGATCACTCTCTGTCAATCCCAGTCTATAAGTGTCCCCTCCCCCGCACCCCATTCATAAGCTTGTTTTAGAAAGCGTGAACCACCCTCTCTTCATATATCCAGATCCCCAACTGAGTTTATTGAAGGTATATGGAGCATTTTGACTGAGAACTCAAGTTGCATTTATATTTTGAATTTTAAGTGATAGTTTTTTCTGTTTTGTGAAGTGCCTCACCTTGACTACTGATGACCAGGAAACAACCCCATATCCTGGTTGAAAATCTCTTCTCAGACATAGAGTAACAATGCTTTTGGTTCCTTGAGTTTGTGTATCTCCAGATACCAAACCACCTTTGCCTTCTTGCCTTGTGAATCCATAGCCCAATAGGTTGGCATTAAATTGCTTGGGAGGAAGGAAGCATAGAATGAGCTCTAGGATGAGAGTGTTAGTGCAAGAGTCTTTTTCCAAGTGGCCTCCCTTTCTAATGGCATCCCATAAAATAATAAAGTATGTACTTTTACTAATTTTCTTTGGGTGAGAATCTGTTCCTGCCTGCGTTTAACGTGTGTGGATTTCATTTTTCAGAGTGATGCACCATATACTCCAGTCCTCGGCTGGCTGCCTTGCTCCTTCTTGTGCTTTCAGTTGCCAGAGGAAGGGAAGAGGCTGCAGTTGCCCATGTGACATCTCCCATGTCCAAGCTCCCTCTGGTGCATCTGCCCATGCATTTTCCTGGGGGAGTTTGAGATCCATATACCCCCTGAAATCTTGGCTGGCTTCACTTTCTTTTGCCTTCCTCCAGATAGGACGGTAACCCACTTCTTGCTGTCACTCAGCTAATAACATAGGCATACCCTCTACTCTGTCGTATAGGGTTGCTATGAGTTGGAATTAACTTGAACGCACACAACAACAACCCTCTACTTTTAAGTAGAGAAATCAATGATATAAAACCAACATGTGTTACCTGCAACATTCTACCTTTCAAGAACCATCCTGAATTAATGGCTACCATTTATGGGGTATCTAGCCTTGTGCTAAAGCACTTATAGATACATTCAATCATTTTATCCTCAGAACAGCTTGATGAGATAGATACTTTTATCATCCCCATTTTACAGATGAGGACACCAAGACTCGAAGGTTAAAATTTGCTCAAAGTCACATGGTTGGTAAAGAGCAGAGCTGGGATTCAAACCCACATCTGTCTGATGCCAAAGACTTCTAAGGTGTCTAAATGTATCTTGGTGTGTATACTAGCAGCCAGCACTGCCTCCATACGCATACCACCACCAATCATTTTATATGTAGATCACAACTTTTTCAAAACTGTCAAAGTTCATTTGACTAGTGGAACTGTGTATCCATGCCCAAGCAGGCCCTAAACTTTAGTTTTGAGCCATCTGATCTAGGCCAAAGTTCAATACAAATGAAAGGAGTAGATGTGGGTATTTGTAACCACGACACTAGCCTGAGTGGGAGGAAACCAGGGTTCCATGGATCTTAAGGTTTACATAGTCCTTTAATCCTAACAATGCCAGGTCTTGCTAGCCCAAGGTCACTCAGCTAGTAAATAGTGAACCCAATACCTTTCTTACTCACCAATGATTTTCAAACCTTTAGCAGCAGACTCCTTTTTTCAAAGGAAAACTGTATACTTGTCTTCTACTAGCATAAATTCTTAAGCTGAAATGTATGACATTTACTTAATATAAAGTTAGTCAATGAGAACAATAAGGCTGTTTTGGGGGGGGAAATGTTTTAATTGGAGTTATAAGACAGTTGTAGTCTTAAGGCTGTACATTTAATTTCTCCATTTTGTTTCTAAGTGTGTGATTTTTATTACCACTTAAAAAATGGAATTTTAATCAAATACTTGTACAATTACTGAAACATACAAAATTCTACCAATCACAATTTGAAAATCAATGCTCCTAAATGCCTTTCCCTCCCGCTATACCATTGAACTTGTAGCATGACCTTAGATAAGTCATATCCCCTTTCTGACCCTCATTTTCCTGACCTGTAAAATGAGGAGGCTGTATTCTACTACTTGGGTCTCAGACCTTTTGAGAATGTGTTGGAAGCTAAGGAGCTTTGTCTTTGAAAATTGCATAGAGTGGCGTGCACACACACATTTTCATACAATTTTAGAGGGTACATTGACCCCACCAACAAGGCTATCCAAAAACTTAAGAACGACTGGACTAGATAATCTAAGATTTTTTTCTAACTTCAAAGTAGAAACTTCAAGGTAGGAGTGAAGGAGAAGGCAAAGGGAACCATAATATTGAGTGCTGAGAATTGCACCAAGGTAACTTTAAATACCTTTCATTTCCATTTACAATCCCAATTGTGTTGACCAGGCCATGGTAAAATCCCTGGATTCTTTGGGGGTAATTAATGATGGTCTGTTACTGTGACGCTGATAACATCTACAGCAGCTGGGGGCTCAGAAGAGGTTGAGATTTGCCTAAAGGATCCACCTTGCTAATAGAATGCCACTCTTTTCAGTCCACAATGTAGCCAGAAGAGTCTGATGAGAAAGGAGATTGAAACCACTGACAAAGCTGAGCCTTTAGAAATCTCTAAAAACTTAGTAACCATGTGGCAATTGGGAATCTTTCCTAAAATATTCTGGTAAGAATTGGCTGGAAATTCAGCCTTCTGAAAATTATTAGATGCCCCAAGTCTGAAGGAACCATTACTCTTAATAATTGTTTTCAGCATCTAGCCCAAAAAAAATCTCCAACAAAATGGCTGCCTACCCAGCATCCATTTACCCCCTTTCTCCTTCCTGGGACCATGGCTTTTTTTTAGTACCTCCCCCTTAACAATTCTCACCTCAGAGAAAAAGAATTAACCCTCAACTGCTGGGGCGAGCCTAATTAGCCTATGGATAATTCCATCCTCTAGCCCATGATTCAAGGAGCCCTGGTGGCACAATGGTTAAGCACTCAGTCGGCAGTTCGAACCCACCAGTGGTTCCAAGGGAGAAAGACTTGGTGATCTGCTCCCATAAAGATTACAACCTAGGAAACCCTATGGGACAGTTCTGTTCTGTCCTATAGAGTCACTATCGCTGGAATCAACTCGATAAACACACAACAGCCACCCATTCATGATTCATTCAGGAATAGTCATGTAACCCAATATGGGCTCTTGAGACCTGAGGAAAGGTTTTCTGTGGACACTTGTCCTGGCATTTTATAAGGATTTGTCCACTCCAGGAGATGATGAAGTTCAAGGTTTCCATAATTAGGAAAAGAAAATATGTGGTTAAAGTGATACTGTTCCTGAGTTGCTATTTTGTCTTTTAGAGAGAAATAGGAAGTCAGCAACTCAGTTGCTCCATGCAATTTCTTTTTTCAGGGCACTGCAGAGCTCTCTCTGAGGCTACAGCCATACCCTTTCATACCAGTGTAAACTGAAGTTACGAACTCATGGGCAGGTCCACCTACAATTGGACCTCCCACAGGCTTCCAGGATGTGAACTGGCTTTGTCTAGACAGCCTCCACCAGCTTCTAGCAAGGCCCTAGAAGCTATGGGTGGTAAATGCTGCTTTTGTTCTAAGACTGCATTTCTCAAGTTGTTGCTTTGATTATGAAAGCAATCTTATGAGGTCAAAAAGGCCAAATGTTGCAGGATCAAGTCTAACCCCTTAGCAAGGCCCTTCTTGAACTGACCCCTGCCTACCTCGCAGCTTCCAGAATCAGCACTCCCCTCTCTGCTCCAGCCACACTGGGCTGAGGTCAGTTCCTGAACCCCTTCACACACCCTGCCTCCCAACTTGCTGCTCCCTCTGCCACCGAAGGTGACTCCCCTCCCCCTCCACTGTTCACCTGGAAAATTCTTTCTCCATCATGCCTGTGATGATGAGTCAGAATCTCTGGAGGTAGGGCCCCTGGGGAACCTGTACTTTTAAAGAGCTCCCTGGGTAATTCAGGTGATCAGCAGCTTTGGAAACAACGATGTAAACACACACACACCAGACACACACCCTTCCCAAAACATAAACCCTGCAGCTGGCTTTTGTTCTCCTACCGTCATTTGCATGACAGCTTTCACTCCATGACTTGGGGTGGGGGGGGTGGGGGGGGGCTAAGGGGTGGTGGCATGGAGTGGTAGGGGGGTGGGGGGAGGAAGGTGAGAAGAGACCAGAAGGATGGAGGGAAGGGAATGGGGTCTGACTCCTAGCAGTTTCCTTGGAATGGTTTGGATCTACTATGGAGAAAGGTTGAGCAGACATTGATGGAAATGTCCAAGATGGACTTTGTGACATGTGAGAATGATCAGAGATTCAGGGTCCAGGTGACAAAGTGGGGCACAGAGGAAGTACCTGCCCTACACCCCAAAGGTTGTAAACTTTGAGAGAATCCTAGGACAGCTCTTGTGATGGTAGCTGCGGCAGTAGAGACATTTAGCCAAATAGCTTTGGGGAAGTAGATATGAACTCATGGGAAGCAGAAGAAGAGAGGAAGGTCTAGGCAGATGTTAGAGGGTGTGGCAGCCAGGAGAACACACCTTGCAGACTTTCTAGACAGAGAATGTAATTGACTAAGGGCCCCAGCTGCCCGCTTTGAAGTCCATCCCACCTGTGCTCCAAGGTCACGCGTGCCCCCTGATGATTGAGTATAGCAGGGAGACTAAGACACACCCGCTCCTTTGTTGGCTGACTTTGACTTTTGTTCAAGCACACTTTGATTTTTGCTCAGACTCCCTGATAGCTTTGCTGAAACTTCCTGGACTGCAAGGCAGTCTCGGACACTTCCCCCCAACCTCCTCTCTCTCTCTCTCTCCCTCACTTGGGGTCAGACTTGCATCTCCGTCTGATGGCTCTCCCAGCCTTCTCCAGCCCCTTTCCTATTTCGTTTCACACTTTCTCCTAATAAAATCCTTGTACATTTCATCTCATCTTGGCATCTGCTTCTGGGAGGATTAACACACAGGGTAAATGTAGCTGATCCATTGGTTCACAGGCCCATTCGAGGTACCTCTGGATATTCTCAGAATTTTCAGGGACATACTCTGGAAGAGCAGAGGTGACTTATTACTATTAGGTGGGTAGGGGCATTCGCGTGAGGAAACTACTGAGGCACACTTGGCTAACACACTCCAAAAGCTTTTATTGAATTAAATCTCCAAAGCACAGATATTTGAGACAATTTGCAAGGACCCTGAGTTTTTGCAGGGCTGTTTTTGGCTAATGTAAAAAAACAAACACACACACCCGAGTTGCCCTGCCCGCTGTAGGGTCTCTCTGAGGGATGGACAGTTCTAAAAGGCACTGACCAGTGACGTGTGGGTCCTGCCCTTCCTCAGGTTCTCAGCGCAGCTATGGCCCTGTCCAAGGGGTCCACAGACCAGTAGTTGTCATCCCATCCGAGGAACCAGCCCACAAAGGAGGGAGGCTCAAAGCCTTGCTTCACGAGGGTGATGGTAGTCCGCCTATCCCGATTGGCTGGGTCCGTCTCGATATACCGCTTAGCTGCAAACACACGAGGAAGAAAAGGAAACCCCAGG